ACAGTAATGGATTATAACAAAAATTACCAAGTATCTTTGTTAGGGAAAACAAGAAAACCAATCACTCTAGATAGTAATAAAAATTGTACTTATTTTAATTTGGGTGGTCATTATAACTTGCTGGTTTGTCTTCACACTGACTCAGAGTATCATAACTTCAGGGTACCTGTCCTGTTTATGTCTTGCTTGTGGTTTCCTAAAGGCACATGGTTGGAAACAACTAGCAGGATTTGGGCTGAGTCATTAAGTCGCATCTGTCCGTCCATCCATCTATCCATCCATCTATCATGTTTGTATACCTCCAAATCTTGCAATTCAAGGCAGTTTACAGTATAAAACCCAGAAATAAAATACAGAAAAACCAACAACCCTCCTCAGTAATTACAAATGAAAGGGTAGACATTATGATCATCAGAGATGCCCACTGATAGCCTTCAAAACCCTTCAGAATCATTCAGTCTTCACTGCTTTGGGGGAAAAAATATGTATGTATGTATGTATGTATGTATAAAAGGCTGGCTTTAATGTAATTTGGGACAGAGGCTATTGAACAAGCCATAAACTGCCACCTATCTCACCTCTCATATACCAGGAACACCCTGCTTCCTCAGCGGGATGAGCATACTGGATAGGTTGGTTGTACTGGAAGAAGGCAGCTGTGTAGTACTTAACAACTGAACTGTGTATGGCTTTCAGGGTTAAAACCAGTCCTCTGAATTGTACTCAGAAGCTCATTGGAAGTAAGTGCAGCACCCACAGTTTGGGTGTTATATGGCTGTAATGACTTCACTTACCAGTCTGTGGACCGATGGATTGCAGTTTCTGAGTAGTTTCCAAAGGTAGCCCTGCCCAGAGCTCATTGCAGTGGTCTATCCTGGTAGTAATGAGGAAGGTTTGGATTACTAATTGCCAGCTTCTCTCATTACATTCTTAATAGGTAAGCAGATCAGAGTCAGGGCTCCTAAGACCCTTAATACAGAATCCTGAAACTTTCTAAACTAAAGTAAAATAATCCTCTTTTGAAGAATCCCCATCCATTTTTTTCTTTCTGTACTTGCATGACTTAGATCATTAAGCATGCTGCCAGAGCTGTCTTGTTTGTATGGCCAGTATGTAAATCACATACAGGAAATCTTTTTGGCAAAATCTTTTAAGGAGAAAGTGAGCTTTTAGTTTTTCAGAGTGGCCAAGCAGAGCCGGGTGACTTTGGGAAGTTTACAACCAGGAGATAAAAACAATAGCCCTGCAAGAAGCCCACTTCCCCTACTTAGTGTCTTCTCTGGAACAGATGCTATTTTTTAGTAGTGTTTACATATTAAGCTTAACTGATTACTGTATAAATCCATGTTGTATTTTGCACAATAAATGAACTATGTGGTTTCAGTTTACACTAAGAGCTAGGCTGGGGTGGGGAGGGCAGGGGAAGAGCACCCAGGTTCAAACAAGGCCAACTCAGCATGTTTTCACATGGGGTTGCTAAGTCTTTGACTGATGTGATTGAGAGTGTTGTGTAAGCATTGGTTCTATGAAAGAGTGAGTGGTTAACTTGATTTGGATATTAAAATCACCATTGCAATCTAATGCCTTAATCAGGATTTGAACTAGCAGAGCTACTTGTGTTGCTGTTGAATTAGATAAAACAGTATTGTTTTGTCCTCAGGACTTGGTGAACATCTTCCCCATCCCAAATACTTCCTGGACAATCCCTGAGTGTAAGAAGCAAGCTGTCCATAGGCATTTTTTGACAGAAATCTACCCAAGGTTGGGTGACATTTTTGTGATCAAGAGCTATGATTTTTAATATTGGGCTCAATCAAAAGATTTCCTTCTTTCCAAAATGAATTTGCCACCAAGAATTGCACTGCCAGTATTCTCTGCTTTACTGCCAGATTTTGTCAGAATGATCTTGGGGAGCTTCTAGACTGGGAGAATGCAATTTGCTCATCTGTGATCTAGCCCAGTACTCTGTTCCAGGGGGTGAACTTATGGCCCTTGACATTGCTGAACCAGTACTCCCATCACCCTTAGTCAAATGGCCAATGGCAAGAGACTCATCAATTCTTGGAAGATGTTTGCTGTCCTTGCTTATTTCTGACTGGGTTTTCTCCAGTATTTCAGAAAGATCTCCTAATTCTCAAGGACCTTTGACTAGAAATGCCAGATTCATCCTTGAATTGCCTGCTTGTTTTCCCCTGAAAAGCTTGAAGAACAATAAACTCTTGGCAACCAGTCAGAGATCAGTGGAACCAGAGATGTTTGTTCTCATTTACTGTATATTTGTTACTTATTCCTAATGTTTTGATGTGCTCTGCTGGTTGTCCAGGGGCAGAATGAAAAGTGGGGACCCAAGATCCTTTGCTGCTGATTTTCATATGTCATGGACACTTCTGGCTGCTGTCCAGACAACATTGTGTTCTCTCCTTCTGCCACCTAGCTTGATGCCTGCTCCAAAGGAATGTAGATGCTATTATTCTCACCACTCATCTTAGTTATGGGCAGTTAATCCTCAAGTTACCTTCCACAAAGGTTGCATAATGTATGTGTAACAGGTAAGCAAGGGGCAATGAAAGGAAATAGGATGGAATCTTGATACCAAGCTACTAATCCCCTTATATAATCCTAGTTAATTTCTTTTGAGATCAGTCAAGATTGGCTACATGCTGCTCTCTGTTGCAGCTCTCTGATGATTTCATCTCAAAAAGGATATTGTAGGGCTGGGCAAATGTACAGAAACCTCCCACCCACCCCACCCCCACCCAGCACAAATGTTTATTGAGATAGAGCAGCTCCTCTATGAAGATGATACTGCAACATCTGCAGAGAACAGATGAGGACAACAGGAGAGATAAAATCAGGACCTGCCAAATAGGAATAGGGATTTTTTTTTCTCACACACAATATTAGAAGTTAGGATCATCTGAAGCTAAATACTATACTGGGAGACTTAGAATAAAAGGAAGCATTTCTTTACCCAGAGCAAAGTATGGAATTTGCTGTTATCAGGTATGTTCATGGTTACCTGTTGAGACTCTCATTTTGTTGGAAGCTCAGGGCGATGGAGGAGAAGGAAGGCCATGGATGTGTGCCAGAGGTGGTTTGCCGTCATGGTGCTTAGTTGGTACTTCAGGAAGCAAAATCCAAGGATAGAATGGGACTTAAGAGTGGGAGATTGAGGTAAAGAATAGATGTGACAAATGATTGAAAGAACTGTGATGGGTTCCCACTCCAAGGTAGTGATTAATGATTTTGTGTTGGAGACCAATCTGATAGCCTAGTTCTATGGCTTCAAAGTCCAGATAGGGTTTCTCTCTCCTTTTGTCCTCCTTGAAAGGCAAAATATACTGCAGTTTCTTACTCTTGGAGGTGATTTGCTTGACTTAAATTCAAGGTTGTCATGGTGACCTTGGTGACCATTGTCAACCATAACATGAAGATGTTACCTAGCTGGGTAATGAAATGTTTGCAAGAAAAGAACCCAAGCTCAGAGAACCCCAAGGACTCCACATTTCAACACTGAGCTACACATATTCACCTCTATTGATATGTTATTATGGTTACCAGGGTTGGTGGGCCAGAGCCTCACTGAAGGATTTGGAGATGCTGGAGAAACTAAAATGTTCTAATCCAGAGTTGCCTTGACTGCATCACCATATTGTTGCTGACAAAGTAAGCCCTGGTCAGCAAAAGAGTGATGTCATGGAGATATTTTTTGCAGAGGAAGGTTGAGATGGCTGAAGATGAAGTTGTGCTTTGGCTTGCTTTTTGTTCTTATTGTCTGTGTGGTCTGAAAATTACATCCTGTATTATAAATGTGGTATTTATGGTCCCTGGAAATATTTCATGTGGCATAATCAATATGGTTGTATTCTGAGACAGAGATGGGGGTCCTCAGGTTGACCTGTTTGTCAAAATTTATCCTCTCCTCTCCCATCTTTGGCAGCTGCCCCATTTTTCATTGCCTATAGTTTGAGTTCTGCCACTCATGTGACCATTGCCCTGGGTCTCTACATGGCTGGAGTGTGATACACCACCTAAAGCCAGCTACATAAGGATATAGATCTTGGAAGCTAAGAAGGGATGGTCCTGGATATGGCGGTAGGCTCGATTGAGAAATCAAATCTCCTGGAAGAAAGCAATACCTTCTGTACTGTTGCCAAAAAAATATGGCTGTAACTGTGTGGTTGCCAGAAGCCTCATCTTAAGGCTGTTTTAACCACTCAGTAAGAGGTTGAACTCAAAGTAGCTGTTTTGAAGGTGAAACACTAACTTCTGTTTGTTGGAACTTATTATTCATTGGATTTAGATCACACTTTTCCTCCAGGAACTCAAGTGGCGTACATAGTATTTGTCTTTCCAAATTTTCTTCACAGCAAAAACCCTGTGAGGCAGGTTGAGCTGAGGGAAAACAACAGGCCCAAAGTCTCCAGTGAGCTTCCATAATTGCATGTAGACATGAATGCTGGCCTCCCTCAACACCTGAACTGGTTTATTATACTGGTTTTCCATCTATTGCAGCACCACTGGTAAAGGAAATAGGCCTTTGTCTTAAGAAACTGGCAGTGTTTAGCGTATGCTATGTCCTATTTAATTAATTGCATGCCTGGTGAGAAGTAATTTAAATAAGTTAATATAACTTTTCCCTTGGTAATGTTGAAAAGAAAGAGGGATACAGGGGTGTGGTATTTATTTTCCTTCTGGAATAAAGATCAATTAACTGGCAAGCCCCTTTTACATAAACGTTATGAAACTTATGGAAGGGTGAGGCTGTTGTCTCCTTATCGAGTTTCAACCCAGATCTAGTTTTGTGCTTTCCAGGTATGTGGTTATAGCTACCTTCTTCAAGAAATTGCCTCTGCTGAGTGGTAATCTGGTTTATTCCACTTAATGTGGAATGGTCTCCTGGTACTTCCAGACTGAAGCCCTTCTTTTTTTGCCTTGTATTTGGCTCCAGAAGGTTCCAGTTTGCCAAGATTCAAAGGTGTAGCTGGGTATGTGACAAGTTCTTCTTTCCTTCCCTCCAGTTTTTCGTCACCATGGGGACAGCATCATCCAAAGAAGAATCCTCTTCTGTAAAGAGTCCAGAGGCTTCAGTCGCCTTCAGCATGATGGATGTTTTCCTCTTCTCCGTTGTTATTGGTCTGCTGACGTACTGGTTTTTCTTCCGTAAGAAGAAAGAGGAGATCCCAGAGTTTTCAAAAATCCAGACACCAGCAGCAACAGAGTAAGTGGCTGGGCAGGCAGGGGCAGTTAAATTGACCTGGGTTTCTGGTGTGATGGATGCAATATGTTTTTCTAGCATCTGGTTAGCTTCTGAGAATTGAGTGCTGGATTTGAGCAGCTTGAATTCATTAAGGATTTAGCCCGCACTGGGAAATACAGTCTCCTTGAAGTATTGTTGCAATATCTTAGTGTTTTCTTTTATAGTATTTGTATGCTGCAGTTACTTGCTGCCCATCCCTGTCCTAGAAAAATGGTCTGATTGGCTAGGAAGTATCTTGTCCAGTTCATCTGGAAGCTCACCAGGTTGGAGAAGAGTTCTGTTTGGACGACCTCTTGTCATCTTGGTGTCATTGTGGTCAGAAACAGATGCCTATGCTGATATAATTTTACCTATGAGGAACAAAAGATAACTGCCTTAAAAATAGGTGGGAAAAAACGTTGGGTGTCTGATTTCTCCAAATCAGAGACCTTCTGCAGGATATTATATCAATAGTTCCTGCATTGTTTATTCCATTACTCCAAAGCTGGAATCAACCAGAGACTGGAACTTTTTGAGGGACAAAGCAAATTTCATCTGTCTAATGAACATGTACCCTACTTAGTTGGATCAGCTTTCCCTCCTTTGTGTTTTGTTTGTTGAAACATTCTAATAAGAAAAAAAAGCATATTCTTAGTAACATAAGCTTAAATATGTTTATTGTATGCCTCCCAGACTCACATTCATGACATGGGCAACTATATAAATTTGAGGCAGGCAGGCAGGCAGGCAGGCAGGCAAGCTTGTCTAAAGACACAGAGTACCAGAATCTTGGCAGCAGAAGCTTTGGGGCTAAAGCAGCTAGTTAAAAGTAATGTTTTCCTTGATCTATTGTAGCAGAGTTTGTTACGAATATTTCTTAAAACGTTTCTCTTTTTTTTCCTGCTCTCCTTTTAATGTAATTTTAATAAAGATTGACTTCCATGAGTATTAGATTAAAACTGCCAACGTGGTTAGTAGCTGTACTTCCATAATATTCTGCATTGATCAAAATCCTTCTCAAATATTGTTTTGAACACCACATTCTGATGATTCAAACTAGAACAGTTAAGGACCACGAGGATGGTATGTGAACTGGAAACTAGTTCCTAGGAGGAAAGAATGAGGGAACTGTTAATGTTTAGCCTTAAGAAAAAATGGCCGAGGGGAGATAGCATATAACACAGTGCTTCTCAACCTTAGCAACTTTAAGATGGGTGGACTTCAACTACCAGAATTCCCCAGCCAGCATGCTGGCTGGGGAATTCTGGGAATTGAAGTCTACCCATCTTAAAGTTGTCAAGGTTGAAAAACACTGATATAACAATAGAGTTGGAAGGGACCTTAGAAGTCCTTTAGTCCAACCACCTGCTCATTGCAAATCCACTGAAGCACCTCTGACAGTTGATTGACTGTCCTCTGTTTCAAGACCTTCAGAACAGGAAAACTCTTGACTTCATGTATAGCATGTTCCACAGGCTGACAGCTCCTACCATCATGAAGTTTCTCCTGATGTCTAGCCTAAATTTACTACCTTGTATTTGTAACCTGTTCTCTGGGGCATTAGGGAATAAATCTAGCCCCTCTTCTGGGACAACCCTTCAGATATTTGAAAACTATATCCTATCTCCACTTGTTCCTTCTGTAGGTTACACCCCCCCCCCCCC